GTGGTGAATGGTAAAAAAATTTGGGCAAAGTTAAAAATACCCCTCTGACTTGGTCAATTTGAAAATTACCCCATGAATCTAGATACCCGAGGTTTCTTCCATTTTCGGACTCCACAAAAAAGAGAATTTCTGTAGTAAATCTATTTTTTTTTCCCTCGAATCAGCGTCCCTAATAGCAAGACAATCGCATCTTCATTTCTGAGGTATTAAAATTCAGTCTTATACGATAACCCGAGGTTTATTAGATTTTATTTCAGTTTTTTTATTGATTTTAGGAACTTTTATTGTTTTTCCTTTTGAATTATCTTTGAATTCCACAAAAGATAAGTGTTATTTTCATATAATTCAGCTTATCCTCAATTTCTATTCTATTTTTCTTTTTAAGGGCATAATTTTTGTTTTCTTTGCATTTTTCATCAGCTAGGTTTTGACTTTTAGGCTAAATTTCTGCTCTTTTAGGGTTTGGTTGACTTGGAGGATTTATTTTTGGAATTTTCTGTTATTTTTCTTTGAACTTTCAAAAAATTATTGGGTACTTTACAGAAATTTGATCAAATCTAGTGGGCTTCGTGTTTTGAAGGGTTGCATTTTTCACCTAGATAGATAAGTACTTTTATGGCATTTGAATGCCAGCAGACAGTAAGAATTGGCTCAAAGGACACCTCAATAGATTGCTTAGATAATCTGCCCTCTGAAGAAGTTGACAAACGTCAAGTTATATCAACTAACAATATCAAAAAATTTACTTCTGAGTCTGAAAATCCAAAATGCACATCAACATTAAAAGCCAAAACAGCCCTTCCTGTCAATGAAAGTTTACACAATTTTAGCCAGTCCATCACTGACCTTCCCCCGGCATTGATATCCGAAATCCTCAACTGCCTTGATCCAAAAGATCTGGGCATTGTGTCCTGTGTCAACACTTATTTGTATAGGCTTGCATCCGAACACCATGTGTGGAAGGAGTTTTACTGTGAAAGGTGGGGCCATCCAATAACGCTGGCCAATTTTGGGCCAGGGAATTCTGACAAGAGATCATGGAAGGAGCTGTTTGCGCAGAGGGAGTTCCATAGCAAGACTTTTATGGGTCGTTTTAGTATTGATACTCTGTATGGGCATACTGAAGCAATACGGGCAGTTTTTGTATTGGCTTCTAAGAAGATTGTTTTTACTTCGGGTTATGATCAGATTGTGAGAATGTGGGACATGGAGGAAGGGTTGTCAATCGCATCGTCCAGGCCTCTTGGGTGTACTATTCGTGCATTGGCGGCCGATACAAAGGTTTTGGTTGCTGGGGGTACAGATGGGTTCATACATGGTTGGAAGGCAGACGATGGGAATACTCACTTATTTGATCTCTGTGCACCTCAAAATCAGAATATGGAATTT